AAATCGTTTGCGATGGCGCAGCTGCATGCACTCTTTGTACTTTCTCAAACTCTAACCTGAATTCCTCATAATTTCTGTCATTCTCTCTCTAACTTTATCTCACCGAGTTATACTTCTCGAATCATATCTTCGAACCCAAATCTCTCCGATTACTGCTAATACTTCTTCTATCTTTTATCCTATATAATTACATACCACAGGGCATTTTAAATCTTTAGATCATTTACCTTAATTTAATAAACTTCGTGAATTCGCTTGAAAGGTTAGTATTTCCATCGAGTTTTGAAAGAAAGCCGGAAGTAAAATCTGCCCTTAATAAGGAAAGCGAACGTCCTTGCTCGTTGTTCATTCTCAAGGGACTCATTGGATACTAAACTTATTTGGATGACCCCCAGACTTTTGTAAGACAGTGATTAAAGTCGAGATTTAAAAAGGATATAAAAGTTTATCAATTATAAATCGGATTTCAGGAGGCATGGTAAAGATAATTATAATTCGTGTTCAATTGTTAGAGGCATTTGTGAAATAAATATTAGTTAGCTTTCGAATTGTGGAATAACCTTGTTGTTTAGGCGACTATGCATATGAAAACTTACAGCTATGTTACTTGTCGCTACATCCGAAAATACTTTGTTAGACTCATTATGAATCACTGTGAAAAGTTAGTGGATAAATTTATGTGAATTGTTATGAGAATAAGTTCACTTTGCCATTGGTTGCTTGTCTCTTACTCAACCGTGACATAAATGGGATTTTAAAACTTAATATATATATATCAGTCGTACACACCTTGTTGGTAACAATGTTCTTCCTTTGACGAAATTCTGATATATGTCAAGTCCAAAAAAGGTCTTTAATTGTGGAAAAAATGAATTTGTAGTAACCAGTGGAATCCAGGACGTATGTTTTCTTCCGTTTGGGACTTATTGGTTGGATGTACCTGCATCACAGTTTTTATGTTCACACTAAAACTCGAAGCCAGTACTTTCTAATGATTTCAGATAGTTACCCAAACAACTCCGCCTGTAGACCCTCCGGAGCTACTACCGCTCCCAAGCCCGGATAAAAGACGAGGGTTGGGATGAGGGTTAGCGACCCCATCCCGAAAAAAACTAGCCAAAATACCGCTAACAAGAAAAAATAATCCAAATCATATGAACTCTGTTCTGGGAGTTAGAAGTTCTTCATTTAGAAGAGTGATGACGTCTGATGATGAAAGCCGAATTCCTTCGGAAATCATGAGGCTGATGCCGCTTTTGACCACCAGAACCTTTCCACGGTATGGGCAGCCGGGAAGTAACATCCGCCTTCATGCCCGTAAGGCACACGAGACCTAATTTGTCACAATGAAATCCTTACCACACCTCCCAATAACTCTTATCTCGTCGACCAACTCTTCCTTCGGTCGTTTGTCACCTCGCGCCGCTGAAGCAAACGGTATGAGCTCACGAAACATCATTAAAGGTGTTAGTGGGACGTGAAACCCCGCACTAAATTACATACTGGAGCTATTGATGTTCGAACATTGTGTCAAATAGGGCAGTCGGCTTCATTAGTTAGAACTCTGGAATCCCGAGCAATCGATATATGTTGCGTCTCGGAAACGTGCGTACAAGATCCGAGTAAAATCATTTTGATTTCACCTTTTGAAGACAAAGAAACAAATTGGTTTACCCTTCGTGTATCTGGAGGCCCTGCCGCTGCCTCTCGTAGCCTCACTGCTGGTGTAGGTATAACATTAAGTCCTAGAGCATAACAAGCTCTCTTAGACTGGATCCCTGTAGACTATCGTTTACGCACTGTCCGACTAAACGTGACAGTAAGGACTCGTAAAGACAGGGAAACTCGCCGATGCAACGGGCTTCATTAGCCAGAACTCTGGAATTCCGGGCGATCGATGTATGTTGCGTCTCCGAAATGTCGTATCTGCCTACTCTCCCACTGACTGCAGCTCAGATGAGGTGAAAGATGAGTTTTACAGAAACCTCTCTAGCCTTCAAAAAGTTAAGCGCTCTGATATAGTAGTAATAGCTGGTGACTTTAATGCTCAAGTAGGTGGACTAGGTAAAAAGGAACGACACCTGGGTGGATCTTACGGTGTCGCGGCTCAAAGAACAGATAATGGCGACCGTCTGTTGCAACTATGCTCAGATAACCTCCTATTTCTAGCAAACACTAACTTTAGGCATAAGGAAAAGCATCTCTTGACATGGCGATCCCCGAAGTCGTCTCAACGTTGTACCCAACTTGATCATATCGCCATCAGCCATCGGTGGAGAAGCTCTATTGAAGACTGCCGCTCATTCTGGAGTGCTTGTCTAGATTCAGACCATGCTCAAATGCGAGCACGTATTTGTTTGCGTTTTACTGGACGAGAGCAAAATATCGCAAGGAAACCTCTTAGGGCTCTACTTAATGACAATAAAGCTAATAATACGTTTCAGGAGCAACTAGAAAAACAGTTAAGCAGCCATTTAGTAGGTGATGTCCACCCTGAGGCAGCTTGGGATGATATCAAAAAGGCTGTGGAAATAGCAGTGATATTATCTAGTAAGGTAAACGATTAGGTTAGGAAGAAGCCGTGGATTTCAGTAACATCTACGGAACTGATAGATGCTCGAGAACTCTCTCCAATCCAGGAGATTGGACCGATGGGCAGAACTATTTAGAGATCAGTTCAACTGGCTTTCAGCCACACTCTGGTTGCCCATGATCTCCAGTCATCCTGAATGGCAAGTCGACGTAAGCCCTCCGAACCGTTATGAAGTTGAAAAGGCTAAATGAAATCTGAAGCGAGGGAGAGCAGCCGGTCCCGATAGATTGACCCCTGAGTTTTTTCAAGGTTGGTGGTCCAGTTTTAGGAGTTAGAGTGACTGAGATTGTGGGTAGAATCTTGGGACCGGACGTAATGCCATCTAACTGGTCTCAATCCCTGATTGTCCGTGGATCATGAGGTTCTGTCTCAGTGCCTGTCAATAAAAGATATACCAAAGAAGTACATTAACCTTATACAAGCTCTCTACTTTCGTTCCATTTCCTTAAGATGAATTAGTGGACCATTTTATATTTGCATCAAACATGTATTTAACGGCAACTACTGATGTCAGCTTTTCCTATAACTCTAATTTATATATATTTCTAAAATGGCAGGTACACGCCATTTTTTACAGACATTCTCATTAGGATGCATCAAGGTCGTCAAAAAGGATTTACACATAGATTGGATATTAATGATATTAATAAATCGAGATTAATTTACAGGAGAGTGTTCAAGGAGACTTACTTGCAAAATATTTGTTTAATGGAACTGTTTAGTAAGTTTACACTTGTCATAACGTAGAGGTTTTAACCTCGACATACTTTCAGAAATAGCATTATCTTCGTCCGAATTTCCAGGATTCGACGTTCTACCAGGAGATTCATTGGTTGACTTCGAATATGTCGATGACATAGTTTTACATAATGAAGACGCTGATAAAATGCAGTTTTCTGACTACCCTGAGCAACAATGCAAGTATGTTCGGAATGCGGTTCTCACCCTCGAAATGCACAATGTTGCTTCAAGATTGGGTTGCATCGGTACCTAAACTAGTGAAACGGAGTGACGTAGTCGAACATGCAGACCACTTCACTTATCTGGGACGTCTCATCTGTGCTGATGGCCTGTTGACCGACGAAATCTCAGCAGTGATACAGAAAGCTCGACTGGCTTTTGCCAACTTGCGTTGCCTATTGCTTAGACGAGATATCCGTCTGCTAACGAGAGGACTAGCGTACTGCGCAGCAGTTTGTCCCGTCCTTTATGACTGTGTGACATGGCGAGTCATAGAAGAAGATATTCGTAGGTTTCTTGTCTTCGATCATAGGTGTCTGTGAAGCATTGCTCGTGTATCCTGGGACAACTGAGTAAGCAATGCTATCGTTAGGAAACGAGTACTAGGTAAGGATGGAAGATCAATAGATGAAGTAGTGAAAGTCCATCAGGCTAGGCGGTTGAGACATGTGTTGTGTGTATCCAACCACCGACTTCCTTGACGAGCAATGTTTTGTGGTGTAGGAGTAGGTTGGAGGAAGCGTAGGGGTGGCCAGACCAAAACATGGCAGAAATCCATGAAGTCACTGACAAGTGGATTGAGTCATGTTGGTAGGTGTCGCCTACCTTGTTGGGGCCCGCGAGATGATAATAATCGTTGGGTAGACACCCTGAGTGACATGGTTGAAAACCGTTTGCAATGGCTCAGGTGCTTTTATTCTTTGTGTTCTTTTAACTCCTAACCTGAGAATTCCTTATCACCTTTTTGTCTTTCTTTTTAAGTTTATTTCACTAGATTCTAATTCTTGAATAATGTCTTGGAATCTTAATCTCTTCGAATACTGCTAATACCCTTTAGTGCGTCTGGTACTGTCGGATGAGAATTGACAATTTCATTTGGTTGCTAATGTGGAATGGCAACTTGAAGTGATTTACGTATTTCTGTACGAAGTTCTACGTTGCTGCTTATGATGATGTTGATTGCTACCCACATGTGTATGGGATATGATATTTGTATTATTAGAGATTATTTGAATTATCTTGTCAGAATTCGGACCAGTCCTCGTTGACATATGTGCATCCTGTTTGGATTCCTTCAGTATTGTCATTTATCATATGGTTTTTATAGAACAAATGTAATCAACTATACAAAATTTTCAATGAAAGTTGCCATTTGAAACGAGACTTACCGCTGTTTTTATTTATAATAGTGAGGTCGCAAATGCTCACGTCGGAGGAATCCGAAACTAAGATAAAATTGTTGTTCAGTGCTTTGATTGACACCATTCTACGATAAAAACTGTCTCTAAATTGAAGTAATATCAACCATATTATCCGAATGAACATTAGAAATCCTTTTAATTATTTTCCTATCAATAGACACGATTCTAAGCCTAAAAATGGCATACATTATGGACTCAATTTATGTACAAAAATGGACGTGTTTTTTAGAAAGTAAACTTTATTTTCACAAGACAGATTCTTTTTCAATTAGACAATCTATACCTCGTTGTTGTTCTTGTTGATTGAAGTTCACTGATGTCAAATTTTTACCTACTTTACTTAAACTATCTGTTAAAGCTGTATACTGCTTTAACTGACTAGAATCAGCGATTTGATTGTCAGTAAAATAATTATTTTGTACAGAATCAATAATCATATCATTTGGGTCGATTATTTGTAAAACTGATTGTGTTTCATTGAAATTTGGTACATCATCAGTTGTGTCAAAATACACGTTTGTTTGACATGTTGGAAGATTATGATAAGGATCAACCGATTGTGTTTTAACAAATCGTCTTCGTCGATTCGGTGATGAATCCAACCTTGGTAAGATCACATACTGTATTTCTGCGTTGTTTGGTGTTATCCTATGATTTCCGTGTTCATCATAATTTGCATTGTAATCAACAACTGGTATGATAGTTACTTTATGATGATGTGTATTTTTTGATAATCGACCGATACTCTTTCTTGGAGTGGTAACAGCAGTTGTGGTGGTTTTTGTTGCTTTTACATAACCTCCATCTGTATTCATTTTCGTGTAACTATTAGCATTATTATTCATAGTGCTGTTGAGAATGGGCTTGGTAATAGAGTAATTTTTCATGTGAGATTTGTTTTTATCATCATTTCCTTTCACTTCTGATTGAGATAATTGGCGCAATGTACCACTAGATCCTTTCTCTTTTATTTTAGGATACTTACACGAATCCAATGTTATTAGTTTGTCCTCAAAATGATTTTTACATGAACTAAGAAAATAATGATAAAAGCGAGATGTTAGTGTATACGTCCATATATAATTTGTTGAGATTAGTTTGATGGGTATTGTAAAATTTGAAATACTGATCACTCTGCTCTTACTCATCGATCTAAAACAAAACGTTTTCTAAAGTTTCAGGTTTTATCCCATATGATTGAGACATGTGTTACATATGCATAACCATAGTGTACCTCAGTGAGCAATGTCGACTAGTGTAGTTGGTTAAAAAAAATGTTGGGGCGGATAAGTCGAAACGTGGCATCGGTACACGGATCCATTGGCTGTTGATCTGAGCCATGTTAGTAAATACAAATGATTATGTTGGGATCAGCCCGACAGCCGTTATCATTGGTTAGAAATGGTTTAGAATCTGTTACAGTCATGCAGTTCCATTCACTTTATATCTTCCCACAGGTTTCTAGTTATAGGATTCTTTGGTTTTTTGAATCCATTGTTCTTAAATCATATTTTCGATACTTAGTCTGTTCGACTATCTCTGACATTGCTCCTCCTTACTTTGTTCCTCTAATGATTTCGACTTAATGTGGTCTGGTATATACGCAACAGGTTCTGTAGCGGATTTCGATTGACTGGTTTATCTCAAAGTAGTCATAAATACACTCTACTAAGGAGTCTCAGTTCAGGATAAAGACACGATTCAATGTTTCCGTAAGTTTACCATCTAATTAGGACTGAAGGCGTATTATATAATATGAACTGAGGAATTCATAGTGATCCATAAATAATACACACTAAATATTAGTGCCTGTTGATTAACAAGTTCAAATAAATCAGTAAAGAAGTATGAAATTCGAAGCATTTAACTAACTATTCTATTTATCTGATAGATATAATTCAATGCAAGTCGAAAAAAAAAATTCTGTTTATCATTTTGTGGGTAGTCAATCCCGAAAAAAAAAAATCAAAACTACCACTGTAATGATGAATAGACATCGCTGACAGAATTCATATAGTGTTTGAAGGCAATTGTCAGTTTAAACTGACAGCAGTTAGGGGAAAATTGCGAATCAAGAAGTTTTGAACTACTGTCTTGTATATGATGTTGGACTCAATTCGTGCTCACCTATATTTCCTAATGAAATATTATGCAGGATCTTCAAGTCTCACAGTGCGCACTATGTGATCAGAGATAACAGTTTTTATAGTAAAATCTAATTCGTCTTATATCATTAGATAAAAATAGTTTATTGCTCGATATGTATACGTGCTTTTATTTTTTGTTCATAAGCCAGTGTTAGTATACTCATGTTTAGTGTCAGTACGGATACCTTTTTCTGTTTGGTTGACTTCATGTTTTGTTTGAAAAGAGGGGAAGTGATCTAATTATCAAAAGACCTTAATCTCATTCGGTAAGTTTTATGTGGGATTATTTGAATCCAAGTGTGTTTATTAATCATTTACGAACTGTAGAAAATAAAACCTTACAGTGAAATAAGTAGGTTACTTACTTGTTGCATTGTTTAATTGATAAATTCTCTTTTTGTAAAGATTTTTGTAGTTCATCCAATCGATTTTGTAGTAATTCAATTTGTTTAGCATAGTTTTTGGATTTTATATCACAAATTGGATTATCACATTTATGTTTAGAAAGTCTTACGTCCACAATCTGATTGTTTTGTTCAGATAAATTGGATGAATAATTGGCATTCTAAATGCAGAAAAACTGATATAAGGTAATCATGTTTAACTGATAAAATACCAGTAATCATAACAATAATTGACCAATATTAGACAATATATTGGTCGTGATAAAGGTTTATTAATGAACTACTTGTTTTGGCTCAATAACATTGTAGTCACTTCACAGGTTGTTTCTAGTTAGTTAACCAATAGAAATCAGGCAATCCCTCACAGGTGTTCTGTCGTAGCATGTATTTACTCTTTTACAGGACAAACCCAAGGACTTCAAGCCTCTCAGGATAAGGGGTAACATTTAGAGGACCGCATTGGCATCTCATGATTCCAATGTATTAATGTAACCAGTTTATGACATTGCACAGTCATCATAGGATCAAAATAGCTTTGTAATACTATCTAATATTGCTCAGATGAATTCACTATGTAATCTAGAATTCTCCAAAACACCCTATCTCACTGATTAGTTTTGTCTCAGTAAAAGGTGTTCTGATTAAAGTGATTAATCTGTAAATTTCAATAGTTTTTCAAATGAAGGCTTGTCATAATATCGTTATGAGCAATTTTTCATCTTTCCTGTAGTATGCTAATTAGATTACTTGTTTTCGATTGGTGAAAACTGTTGCTTTAATGGATAGTTGAAATATGTTAAATTTTCAGTGACACGTCCTGTAATCGGTCCACCACATTAGCCATCAATGTTTGCTTAAATCTTTCTTGGTTTCACACTCACTATGCATCAATCATTTAATGTAAATAGAATTTAAAAATCTTTACTGATTCAAAAAATATCAAAGACTTCGTTTTAAAAAGCATTCCGAATGCTAGCTATGTTGACATAAGTTTCTCTACTGATTTTTATTAGCCTTCTTGTAGTTTGTCAATGTTGAGGATTATTTTTTCACATTAAGTACTCGATACTTTTTTGATCTATCAACTGATATGTATTCCCTACTCTTGTTTATTACTTCCTTTAATTTCTGCTTATGTTTTTGAGCAAAATGCTGAAGTATTTTGTAAAACTTTGAATCTTATCAGTCGAGTTGATGGTGAACATCGTGACTTATATATAAATATTTGTAATTTAACAAACAACCAGATAGTTGTTATCAAATACTATATTCGTTTTGCTATTCCCAACAGAATGAGATAAATCGGAGTCTATATACTTAGAATGAAATATCAGAGTGCGTTAATTTTATTATTGCAAGAGTTTTAAAGACAGAAAAGACTCAGGATATTTACAGATGGAGATGTTTTGTTATCAATTAGTACAGTTTGGGAATATATATATATATAATTTGCGTCTTGATGTTAGTATCAGCGCCAGAGAGTTCTGTTTAGAATGTAACTACATACCGAATCTCACCACTAGCCATCAGCCAAAATATGATTTTTACTGGTGAATAGTTTAATTAAGATTTACACAATATTTATTCGTCTCTAAAATTTATTAGCTAATTTGTATGAATTGAAAATATTGCATGACATTGTTTTAACTTGCAATCAAATAAGAAGTGACATTTAAACACTATTATATTCCTAATTCAAATTTACCAACTTAAGTCGACCGAACCAATTGCTTTGATTGATTTTTTGTAATTTTGGTTTTGCATACCAATAGAATATATATTCAATTAACAAGAATACGGTGCAAATAAGCATTCCACAAACAAGTAAAATAAAAGCACTGATAAAATTCTTAACTCCTAAAGTTTTATTTGTATTGCCAACAGCAGCATCCTTTTTGCATGAACCTGTTTGCCAAAATTTTTTCCAACGTTGCAATTTTCCTAAGCAAAAAAAGAAGACACGAAATAATAAAGAATAATAGTTAATTACAATTAAGTGATTGTGAACTTGTTCCTTAAAGTCACTGAAAAATGCAATCATTTTATATGATATTGTTTGTATTTATTGAATTGTTGGCCAGTCATACTTAAAGTATATTATCTGATACCAAAACATCAAGCACATCGGTCTTAAGTGAAACAAACGCTACTCTATTTATGTTTTACTTCTAAAATAAGACTTTGCCTTTTACAATAGATTCTGATGGCCTCCATAGAAAATATCATTCACGTAGTACGATTTGAGTTTCCCTATCCTTAATAACTTGAATTTCCTGTAAGCTCTTATCATCTATGGGTATGGTGACTTTTACTAGTTTTAATACAAACAAGTTGATGAAAAATGAGTCAGTCCTAAAACCTGTGTAAAAACCTAATTCCATTGACGAGATGATCCAAACTGAGTGATGTGACACAACTCTGGTAAAATTGATGTTAAATGTTGATAGAAAGTCGGCTGAAGTACTGTCAGCTTAGATATTGTGTTTATATAACTACTTTGTCGGTCCACGGTGAGAAGTATGCAAGGTATGTTTGAAGAGTTTGAACCCGAGCATTGAATATCAAAGCTAAAAGACTCGGTTGCAAGAAATCTCACTTTCAATTTTTGTACCTTCCAGCTTGTTAAATATGTAAAACTGCATTATTTATTTAACTAAGTATTACTTGTTAAAGCTATCTTACAGGATGTCGAAAAGATAGATTTCCATATTGATTCGACTCACCATTTTTTTGATAATCTAAAATACGTGAATTAACTTTCGTCAACCATCGACTATTTTTAGCAAAACCAATTCCATAACCGGTCATTGCATATAAATTTCCTACCGTACGTAGTTTACAACCTTCATCTTTCATTGTCCAATAATCCAATACATTGGCATCATATAAAAAAGCATCCAGTTGTCTAATAAGAGTTAAAATAATGGTTTTAAACAAATCTTTTATCGAGATCACGAGCTGATATAATTTAGAAAACTATTGAAAACCTGGAAGCGCCTGACGGCCGTTTAGTTTTAGTGTAGAGTTTCTTAGCAGTGCACTTCCACAAACCCGAAGATGGGAATCAGATCCAGGACCTCCAAACACGCGCATGAATGCTTAACCTACTGATCACAGAAAGATGATTCATTTGTACAGCTTTAACTTCAATCAACCAAAAGTTTTCAGCGACTATCTTCTGTTATATTGAGTCGGTCATTTCTACACAACCGACACGGTTGAACTTCAAAAGTCACAGCTTTTTACTAAAACTCCGAGAATCTCCCCTCGAAGCTAGTCGCTAGTGAGCACATAGTAATTATCAGTACGGCGTTATGGAAACACTTTCTCTTCAATAACTAATACTGCCATTTTGCTAATCAGAATGTGGTGGTTGTTTGAGAAATTTAAGCTCGCTATTTAAAAATTGAATTCATAAACGTGAATCCTTGATACATTTTATACTTTGATCAGTTTCTAATTATCCAAGACAAAAATAATAATTTCAGTTATTAGTTAGTTCACAAATGGAATAATTTAATTAAAAGTTTGGTGGATCCTATAATAAAATTTGGTATACTTAGATTTTAATCCTTAAATCGAGTTGATTATAATATGATCTACTCAGTTTCGGAACTCCAGAGAAAATATTTCATCACTAGATAAGGATATTCTAACATCATCTATTGAGTCTCAATTTTTATCTGATAAGAAGCCTTGTTTTATACCATTTAAATATTTATAATCATAGTTGTATAATTCGTCTTATTTTTAGCTTATACAGTGTTTTTTTAGTCTCATAAGTATTTATTTTTTTTTGCTAAAGAATAAAATTAGACTGTTCTGCATAAATTATCCGTGACGCTAAAAAATCAAGTCTGATAATTAATGTCGTCTTTCATTATGATTATATCTATTTTTAATAATAGTAATAATCTTTTATGCATGTATTATTATTTATGGACGGTAGCAACTTAACCAACACTTTGTCTATTTATTAATCGTCAACACCTATTCATCTGTTGTTCGTGTATGGATGTGCCCGTGTGTGTGTGTGTGTGTGTGCGTGTATTTATGTTTGCATAGATTGACATATTGGAAAAGTTCCTTGATCTTTCTATACTATGTGTACAGATTAACTTAAAAGGCATGCCTACGTATAGATTTGTTTGAGATAAATCATTCTGATAAGTACAGATAGACTGCTTCACTAATGTATGAATGAAATGTAAGTTTTTCAGACAAATTCGAAATCACTTTAAGTTATTAATGGTGATTCGAAGAGACTCTTAGATTGGAGTGTCATTAGAAACACCACCATTTTCTGAGTAGGATACTAGTAGGAATAATGAAGCATATAACTCACTAAGTTAGCTATATTTGTTGGTTATGATAGTTTGATTTTATGACATTGTAGATTCAATTCACACATTAAGTTATTAATTGTCGATTGTTACTCGGTTTGATCTATTCAAATCTGACTATTAATTAGTTTAAATAAAACGAGAATCAGTGTATTCAGGCATAGTTTTAAATTTGTTTTTGGTGTATGGTATATTTTCATTCGTCTGCTCTTTCTCTTGCGTCAAGTCATTTCATTTTTTGTTCCGTAATAACATACAGGATAAATGTTACTGAACACGCTTTGACAGAAAAATTTATTTTTCCAGACGTAACTGTTAACCTCCATCTACCATAAAATTATTTGGATATATGTTAGAGTAATGGCAAACCTTGGCTCTGAAACCTTTAAAACCAATCGACGAAAGCTTATATTTCAAAATAATTATCATTAAGCTAGACATGGTTTTCATCATAGTGTATAATCAGTAGAGAACTATGATATCATTATTTCACGGTTATTTCACCATCACTAGATTTGTGCAATCGAAACATTTGATTAAATGAAACCCAGGATTTTTGAATCTTTACATGAAAGTCCTAACTTTGAACTAGTGAATCCGATTATCCATAGTTTCAAAGGTAGTCATTCTGAAGTATAATGCGGCTGACGGTCATTTTTGGGAATTCTTAATGTAGAATAAAACAACCACCAGGTGCTCATTGGCTCACAAGAGCCCTTTAGTTGATATCACAGCTTGTAGTAAAAATGATCTCATAAAATAACTATACGATTAAAAAAAAGCTTGTTATGTACTATATCACAATTTCGATAATTGTTGGACATATATCTGTTGCTTATTAAGGGTTTTGTCAAGTTTACATACCCTGATTTCATTGCTTTTAAGCCATCTTCAACATCGGATTTATTATATTTTCGCATGTATTTGTACATTTCAGGGAAATTTATTTTGATGTTCTCTTCTGTAGCACCACTTGGTATAGTAGCAAATCGAAATGGAGGTTTCACATTCCATGGATGCTGTAACTAAAAGTGTAAGAAATGATTTATTCATAAGTTGTTTGAATAAATAACAGGAAAATGAAATTCCAAAGACTAAATATGAATGTTTGAGTTCTTGTTTATTATAATTTCTTTTTATTTTGGCAGTATTGAGTCCTCTGAGCTAGATCGCTTAATTCTGTAGCTTTCTTTGTCGGTCTAAACAACATTTACTGCATCTTTTTTCTTGATTTACTAGTGATCAAGGAATTGATCGTGTGTAGTATGAATAATGTTTTATAATATTTTCTGACGAAAGACAAGAGACACGTAGGCGAACTTCCAACTGTTTACGTTTTCATTCAAATTACTAAATAAATAAGTTAATAAATTCTCATTCAAATAATAACTTTTCAAATAGTTAGTTTACATATTGCATAATTTTTCTATTTTAAAGCTATAATCGAATAACTTTGAAAGTATCATAACACACATAGTTTAATATTTCAAGAAAATAAACGTTTTTGAAACTATAGTAATTGCTGTTAGGCTTGCGAATTTCGGTTTATGCTAGTAGATAGAATCGGAATTGTTGAACATACTTTTTAATCCATCACTGTCAAATGCAACAACATTCACAATACTTGGTAATGAAATATTTTCTGTTAGTTATACTCTGACATGCTTAATTTTCACTTATATTTGACAGGTGTGGATAATTGTCTATGTTCAAAGTTAGCCGAAAATAAACTAGTCGTATTTCATCAATTTCGAGACAGCATGAAGTATGTTTCTGTATTTCAGAAACTCTGACAAATGATTGAGAAGTAGTGTGGATGACTGCACTTGAACAAGTGGGCAGTAGATTTTCACCTCACCAACCAATCCCCCTCTCACCAAGAATGCCTACATCGGTTCCACCTTCATTGTCCCACTTACACACATTCACTTACCTATTCACTAACGCTTTAACTGACTACAATACCAAGTCAGTTGTTTTCATAACATAACTTATTTGTCTTCCGATCATACATATTTAGGATTGATTTTTGTTTCATTTGGTATCATATCACTATGCGCGGATATCTAAACACTAACTGGGGTTGTCGTAAAATACAGCCGTTTACGAATGATTAGTACCGTAGCCCATGAACAATTTAAAGGATTTCTGGAATCACTAACTTACTGTATAACGCATCGGTTTTTTTTAACAATAAATAGTCGGTTTTAGTCTCATTTTGAAATTCAACATATATATATATATATATATATATATATATATATATATATATATATATATATATATATAATAGTGAATTGATTTTAGATCAACACAACAATGGACTACTGGTTATTATTTTCATTCGAAACAGTTAAATGATTTTCACTAACGAAGTGAAAAAAGAATATTGATATTTATATCGATTATTCACTGGAGTGTGACCAAAGTCTTGTTACTGCTAGCTAGTCCTAAGGATAATGTCTCAAACTGTGAATTTGTGTAGTATCAGTCTACACCCCATAAAAATGTTTAGTCCTCTCAAGATCAAAAATTATGCCGTAATGATGAGTGTGAAGACGATTTCCAGCACTTGCTTCTGCCTTTTTGTTTTCAACCACTTGATACAATAATAAGCATGCTAATGATTTTGATTTATGGCCAATAATTTAATCATACATTAAAAAAAGAGATTCATATTATGCGTTTATACGTGAGAAAAATGGTATGAATGCGTTATAGAACATGATTATTATACCCTTTAACATAGTGTGACGATGAGAAAATATTGTGTGTGTATGTATGAATTATCAAAATAAATCACTCGTTTTTAATTTCTTCTAACATCTAAACAATTAACAATCAATTCGACTTATATACTTTATGATGAAGTGATATTTTTTTGTATTAGGAAGAGTCGTTATTGATTACCATTAAGCGTTTTTCATATCACATCTTAACAGTTAATTAAATTTAAGATGAAATGGCATGCTATAAAAATGATGATTACAAAATTATTCAATTGTAATTTATGAAAGACGCATTGTTTAATAATAAAACATTTGAATAAATTCGTGTGAAATGAATATTAAAATAAAATATGTGCTTAATACAAATAAGATGAAGTTGGTTGACAGGAAACTATGAACTTAGCTTCTGTAATCACTGATGCTGATCAATGAAATTAATATTATCGATAACTAAAGTCCTATAGGTGCTTATGATCAGCCATGGATTCTGAGTAATATTCTATAAGGCTGAAATATTAACACTGGTCGATTACTAATTAATATGTTCGCTAGAATTCGATCATCATTGTAACGCAATGGTTATTACGTGCTAATTGGTTAGTTTGACTGATCGGGTGGTCCTGTTCTTTTTAGCGAAACTATTACTTCTATTCTAAACACCAGTATTAATTTGTAAATGTATACATCCAACGTGCTCCCGATATCACCGAAATGTAACCAAATATAGTAGAAACCAAAACGGTCTCTTTAATTTTGATCAACGTTATACTTCTGTACTAAATGAAAACAACTGTACTATGTAGGTACATATGTAAAGTAATAAAATCCTTGGTAATCAGTGTGGGTTCTATGGTGAAATCATAGGGGTAAACAAATAGGGACTCATTGGTCAATCACTTGTCTAACGAAAATAATTTAAATATCTGCAACCTGCCAAGTAGTAAATTGACTTTTCTGTTAACTTACACGCCAATCATTTATACCGCTCAGTTCGAAATAATCTTCTTTAGCAATCATAAAAGCAGCCAAATTAGCTGTATATGATGCTAAAAATACAAGAGCGAATAATGCCCATATATTGGCCATAAATCGACTAGCCATTCCCCTTGGATTATCCGCATTTACAGCAGCACCGAATAACATTGACCAGATAAGCCACAGTGAACGAAAAAATGAGAATCGATGATCTTTTAAAAGAAAGAGCATTAAAACAGGATTTGTACTGCTTGAAAAAAGAAATAAGTCTCAAAGCAAACCTGATTCTTTTTTTATTTATAGATTAATTGCTTTAGGATACATATGACGGTTGTTCCTAAATTGTGTTTTCAAAGAATGACTAGAAGACCTTTGTTTTGCAGTTACACGTTCCTTGAATTACGTTTATATTTCATATATATCTATTTTGTTTTAACGTTCCACTCATTCGGTAGACTGCTTTCATTAACTCTGTTTTCATGCGGAATACTCTCCTAGAACTTCTATTTGTGAGCACTGATCAATACGGACCAGACTATGGGTGAAATTGTCTAGACTAAATTCGGTATAGCCGAGCTCTAACCTGCAACCTGATGCCGAAATGAATGATGCTTGAATCATTAGACTATAGTTTTGTCTGTTGGTGATCACTGCTGTTTACAATTAAATCCTCTGTTCATTATTAGTGTCAGTTTTCGAGCATTTAATTTTTATATTTAAACATGCCAACAAACTCACTTTGATCTGTTGTGTGTCCACGATTCATTCCATTTGGACTAAACCATTCATAAATGTACAACGCTGCACCAGTTGCATGTACACTGAATACTAGGATCACACACCAACATTGATAATCGTATGGCTCTGTTGAATAGAAGAATAATCAAGTGAGCGTATTCACTGAATTGAATGGAGATGAAAAAGATTTTTTAGCTAGAACCTAGTTTTTATAGCTCAGTCAGTCAACAACAACATAGGATTTCGTACGTACGTACATCAGTTCAAGTTGCCATACCACAATAGCTCAGAGATGCAACTGTCACTTCAAATCCCATAGTAGTAGAGGTAATAGAATTATTAGCAGTAATCGTAAAGATTAGGGAATATTATTCGAGAAGTAGAATCTAGTGAAGTAAATTTATAGAGGAAAAGACAAAGGTGATGGGGAATTCAGAAGGTTAGGATTTGAGATAACACAATGAATGGATGCATCTGCATCATCGCGAACGGTTCTGAGCCATTTCTTTACAGCTGTTTGACAGAAGATAATTCAGTAGCTAGTTTTTTCTTGAGTTTTGCTTCCTCAGCAGCTCAGATCTTCGACCTCATACTAGATCGAGTGAAAGACCTTGTCACAACAGAAGTATAGTACATTTATGCCAGACAATCAAAATCTACAACAATATGTTTTTAACGGTGATATTTTTAACATTTGTAACGCGATCCAGTGTGTACCTGGTTCATGATAATCAATTTTTGATGAAAAGTAACTTGAAATAGTCCATAGGAATAAAAATCTATTCACAATTTAGTTAGTATTCAGTGGCAATGATATGTATTGCACTGCTGAAGATCGAATGCATTATACTTAGCCTTAATAAATACCGAACTACCTAGTTTGTCTTACCTGCTGAGTCTAGTCGAAAATAAGTAAAATAGCTATGCCTATTGAATAACTTTTACCACATGAAAACATGATACCTTAGTTCATTAGTCTCTTTCAGTTCAATTCTTTGCAATTTCACTTAAAATAAAAACCTAAATAAGACTTCCCATCTTGGAAAAAATTAGTAAGCGAATACTTTGACAAGAACTTCCGAACAATTAGTCCCTTCCATAGTTTGAAATAATATGATGAAAAGAGAACGATTATCAAAACTAATGCGATATATCAGTGCAATTCACTTCGAACAATCTGATCACATACCTGTTAAGAACATTTGTATGTGAGAAATTAAAGGATCAACTAGACAAATAGAATGTAACAGGAAACAAAGATAGATTGTGAGAATAATGTAAAAAATAATATGAGACTCATAACTCTCGATAATTAGCGTATTACCAGGGCAGGCTTTGAGCGAAAGCATACTGCTTTTGAATACATAAAGGAAGTTGAACTTTTGTATGATCATGGCTTCGAAAAACCTTGAAAACGTTTTTAAAAAGCCACAAAGGATTAATTAAGATCGATCTTATTATCTTTTTCAATTATATGTTTGGAAGATTGGTGTTTATCGTCTGCTCTTCTTGGGTCTTTTGATTTTATTTGTGTTTGTAATCGATTCGGTACATATTCAGATACCCTAACTTGCAAATAACGATTACTGCTCCTAATATATATGTGACTGCTCACACGTTTAAATTAATAAACTGAGTGGGATGAGTTAGTCATTTAAGTTGACTATCAAACCGAATCACACGTCGACTAGAGTTCAAAACAGTCACTGGACTTCGATCAGGAGGTCTAGAAGGATCGTGATCAGTGAGAGATTTAAATATCCTGAAATGAATATCGTGCGGAGTGGGACACTACCCAACAGTTCCAAATTCGAAAAATACCACTTCTCAATGCCCTTTTATTTTCAATGCTTGCTCATCCAAGTTTAGCCCATAATGAAAACAAACGAAATATTCTAGGCATAATACAACAAGCACTCGACTTACTTAAAAAAGCTGTTGGAGCTATAGCACCTTCTCTCAAAGCCACTGCAACTGCTATACCTGTTTCTAGAAATGGTACACTAAATTCAATTTGTTGGGATCTGTTTGGAGTAATCTTCAATGATGTTACTGCCATATCAGCTCTATTATCTATTAGATCACGTATAATACCATTCCATCCGTCTGGCTTTCAAATGGAAATTCCATTGTTGAAAAAACATAATACTGTTCAGTTAATTAGATGATAAAAGACAACATGTAGCTTGAAAATTCATAAAGAAGAATGGTAATCAATAGATACTCAAAATATATTGTGTTATACCCTGTACAAATACAATTTTGTGAATTACCGTTGCTCCTGACAGTAACCTGAATAATTATTAACTGAATTAAAGGAGCTCTTCTGTACCCCATCTGATCTTAGTACGTACCTCCAAATGGTAATTAAACCAATCAGTATAAACTCTGCTTGTATCTTCTTGCACCCAAGTTTAGGAGCAACTTAAGGAAGGCTTTCTGATCAACTTTCTTGAAACCTCTGCCAAAGTAAATGCTAACTCTTCAAAAATTAGTTTCCAAACAATAAAATCGTTAGTAAATGTGAACTGGTTATTCTTGAAATCTTGAAAATAATTAACGAGCAACAAATCCCACGTTGTAGAATTCACTGTCATTAAATGTGACTAGCCTAACCTATAAATCATAAAGGAAATCCTGGTAAGTATCTTTTTGTTTTCAATCAAGATTATCTCAGCCTAGTTTCTAGCTTGTCCACGTATGTTCGGTCCTAGATATAACGATTAGTTATGCAACGATCAGCGCTTACTATGACTACTAGTAATTTTGACCACCCTTTCTTAGTACTATTTAACATCATATTTTGGTTTTATTCGTCTAGTTATGAGTTTCCATTTTTTTCAAACACAGTTAATTTTTCGAAGAAGTATCCTTTGAGACAACCCGTATAACAGCTGATGATAACTGAACTCAATTGACTTTTTCTATAAATCTTACATTCCCAATTCTCAACGAACCAGTATATATGCTACTCAGTGTATATTATTATCATCATTATTGTTATTATTATTATTATTATTATTATTATTTGGGGTTTCTTATTTCAATAATCCATATTAAATTTGAAAAACTAAACGGTTTTTCATTGAACGATAAATTGATATCTAAATTGCAAGTTCCTATAAAGGATTATTAAATTTGTCCGAATTCTATTTACTTCAAGGCATTCTTATTAAATTCAGTAATCATTTCATAAAATATTTATTATCTGATCATTTTTAAGCACTTTCATTCTGTGTAAAAAATAATGAATAATTGAAAAATAATTGAACACTAGCTAGTTCAAGCGGGAAGTGTTTTTCTAGCTTAAGCTTGTTTGCCATGCAGTTTAAATAATACATTTTAAAGTTTTGTGATACCTCTATTGCCATGAAGTCATACAATTGAAATAAAGATAGGGAAATTGTTTTCGAAAATTACCGATAACTGAAGAGAAAGTTCGTCTAGAAAATAACGCCTGGTGAAGAATCTATGAAACAAAATTATAGGTAGCGAGTGTTTGTTTGCGGTTGGTTCATGACTTCTCAGAGCTCCCTATCCACGAATCCGCCATCATCATCACGTCTTACTGGGAAAACTGTACTGTTATCGAATAGTAGGCATTCACTAATTCCAGTCAATTTTCAATTTCTAGCAGCATCATCCGTTGTCAGTGATCTGTATGGGTTTTGAAGTAGGGTTTAGGGATACTCAGTTTGTTGCTAGCCTTTGACGAATACACCATTCTTTTTAAATCCCTAGAGATCTCTTTAACTAAAGGCTTTTCATTACAACTAATCAAAATGCAACTATCTGATCGTGAAAACAGCACTCCTACTGAAAAATATTTACTAAAATACACCTTAACGTTAACAAAAATTTTTTTGTAACTTACTGTCCAAGCGCCCCAGAAACCATCTTTAACTTCATACATTTCAACATCGAAATTTAAATCTTTCATCAATTCCATCAGTAAATCCATCGTTAGTCCAGAACAACAACCATTCACATAACTAATGGAATTATTCTCATACGAACTATTTAATTCTGAAAAAGTGCTAACATTCGTAGTGAACATTTCTGGTTTCATTTGTTTGTTAAAATCTTTATGATAAGAATTTAATCCCAGTGAACTTAAAGTCTTATGCATGACTGAATTCTTTCCAGGTATATCTTCATCTTGTAAAGACTGTGGTCTAAGTTTGCACGGAATTGAATTAGCATCACATGTCCCACCTTCCTTGTAATAGAATGAAAGAAAATTATATAAGGAGAACTTTATTTGAAAAAACAAGCACTTACAAGTATTTAGTTGTTGCTTTAATTTGTTTTATTTCTAAATTTATAGAAAAATTGATTTTAAATTAATTTTCTGTCAGAAAAAGTCAAGCAACTTAACATTGAGAATTGGCAGTTGTTTGTCTTCAAAACATTTTACTACTGATAGTTCCCCCATAAAGAGTATTGTTGTACGACCAATAGGCAGATCGGAAAAAAACTGGAGTTTTAGCTATAAATAGTTTATAATTAAAAATTTGGACATAATACCTGTAGGTGTAAAAGACTGATGCAACTTCATATTATTATCATATTAATATTCAAAAAAACTATTTCTTAATATTGAGCAACTTGGCATATGAATGGCAAAGCATAACGGACTTAAAAATAATCTCTAAAACTGGTTTTCTTTTACAATGCAATCAACTTCTTAACTTCATCATCCTCAGTATTGATTAATGGGAAGTAAGCACCTTGTATGTTGTGATGCTTTTAGGGAAATACAATTCTATTTACCTTACAAAATGTGCATACTAATATGATAATGAATAATCTTCTTTAATTAAACGTCTGTAAAATATTCTTACTTGAGCTTTGCTATAAATTACAAATGGTATTTCTTTAATAGTTACTACACGAAGTTTGAATTTACTTGGTCGACCTTTAGGTGGAGAATTCGATGCACCAGGCCATGTTACACCATCTATTCTCAATCTTGATTTGCTTCGACCCCATTTGCTACTCATTGACCACGTTCCAACCTAAATGAGAATTTATTCAGAGTACACATTGATTATTCAAAGAACATTCCGATTAAAATTCGAAACGTCTCTTAATAGTAATCAGCAAACAAATGAAATATAGTGAGTATTGAAAATAGGCAAGAGCTGAAATAAACTAGGTGAAACACCTCATCTATCTGTTGGAGAAGAAATTTCAAATTATCAAAGGATGTTGCTATATATATATATATATATATATATATATATATATATTGTGAAGTTGATAGAGAGTATATCATCTGTTCACTAGTGACTTTTCTACATCAAATCACACATAAAACACATTTCACACAAATATTTTGAGTACGGAAGACGTTTTTATCAGGTTTATCTTCTTCGCCTTGTTCGTAAGTTTTTATTAGTCCATTAAGAATAAGGTTCTTGTTAATTGTGTCTTTTTATTCATATCCTATGATATTTTTTTGACAACACGTTTTTGAAAATTAAATATTGCATAAAATGCAAACTAGATACACTCAGTTTTTTATTTCTCAAGGTATCAGCGGTTAAAATATTTTTTTATATTTTACCAAAGTATTACTGAAATTCTGAAGTTTGAGGATTGATCAGAGAAATGCGGTGCTATTTATTCGTGTGTTACAAATTTCTTTTCGTCTAAAAAAAATCACATGCTTTTATACAATCAGCAATATTGATTCTACATTAAGGAATTTGTGTGATCTCGAAGAGTGACATAAATGATTTGATGTAGAAACTGGTCAAATCATACATTACCTCTCTTAATAATCTTAAACTACTCAAAGTTTTTAGATTAATCTGTTGGAAATAAAGTTAAAAAATGTTCTGTCCTATGAAGTTGCTGGTAAAATGCATGTCGGAGAGAAATTATCTTTAAAAAAATCCGTAAAAGAAACGTTGTTACTAAACACAAATCACAAATTCTTGGGAAATGAACAATTCATAGTGGTAATTTGTTTTTCACTATCAAATCTAGAATATTCAATTGTTAGATAGTGCAACTGTCACTGCAAACAATTTCCATTGTACTATGAAGCTTTGTTTATTACTTCAAGCCATTATTGAAGCTGGTGTAAAGTATTTGGTACTGACAGCATTCATTACCTTCAGAATTGTGAAAGTATGTCCATCAGACTGGGTAAATTAAAAATGGACAAATTGATTACTGCCTAGGAAAATTCAATCCAAGACTCAAAATCTGTGTTTACTTTTAAAGTTGAGGTAAATACCTTGAAAGTCTCTCATCGTTTCTAACAATGTAGCTTTGAAATCAAAAACCCGAATATTTTCAAGCTTAAATCATATTAAAAAAAAGTTTCCTTTCAATGGTATCTAGAAATCTAATAAATACAAAAGAAGTATTATTCAGAAACAGAAAATGTGATAGATTTCGTACTTAATATCAATTATTAGAATATTACTTGTTACATTGTCATAAAGACAACAACAGTTAAAACATAATCCAAATTAACTAATAGTAAAAATTAACTTTAACGATATGTGTATCTTCTGCACTGAACAGGCAAACAGATATTAATAAGTAGTTTCCTGAATGATCATATAATAATGAACTATTTAAAATGAAATTATGAAGTTATCATTTCGACATTACACTTTTTGTAGCACATTTGAATCGGTGGAGGAAATATGAAACTTATTAGATTGTATTGTCATGATGAAGTAGCATTCCACAGCTGAATATCAAACCATTTATTGTTAAGCTAAGCGATTTCTAAAGAAAAAATTCGTCATTTTCAAATTTTTTTCTCAAAAGTTCAAAAGTTTTTGTTGCACGTTTCGTCAAATCATTTCAAACTATGGATGAATGAGACTGACTGAAATTTTTAAATTTTATGAATGATTAGTATTTCAATCATATGTCGCTTCAACACATAGATATTACATTATTATAGATGATTTGTCATATATATAATACAAGCGAAACAGAGAGGTTGCATATGCCGGCGGTCATTTTAAAATACATTTTTTTTTATTTCAAGCATATTTTTTGATTGCGTATACGTTAATAAGCATAAACAAAATCGTGAGGAAAACAGAAATAGCCTTATATGTGATTTTTTCTTGAACAAGCTGAATCAAAATTTTACTGCTTACATCGACTTTGAGGATAATATTGAAATATCTATTTATAAGAATTGAAATTTAAGACTAAAAACAATCAAAGCCGCAAGTCTTTAACCAACAATCATGCTCAAATAGAATTGATAGAATAATTATAAAAAGTGATGGTGCATTCATTACCTTATACCATTTCATTCGACCATCAATAATTCTTGAATTATAAATAAATAATTTGGAAACATTTAATCCACCATTCGGCAAAAAACTTATCGGTTCACTATCCACATTCACAACAACTGTATGCATAATACTAGGAAAGAAAAATAGCACTAAGAGATAATAAACACTCAAGCGTCATATCGGTGCGATAAATTAAATTATATTCATCAATATTTCATCAAACAACAATGAATAATATTTGAAAGTAATCATCAGTTAGGAAAGTGTTTGGTCGATATTGTTCCAAAGTAGGAATTCATTTTTTATGAAGCTGCATTCAACGATACACTGACGTTTAATGTAATGCATTCAATGCGTATATATATATATATATATATATATATATATATATATATATATATCCAATTTAATTCTATTGACTAATAGAAAAGTATGATCACGAAAAGAAATGACTTCAAAGGTAACAGTAATCTTAAACTAATTCTGGCTAAGATATTTATCGATTATCAGTAGAAGAGAAATTCATAAGTAACCTGTTACTGTTTGTATTTTTCTCTTTTTTCTTCAAATAAAATGACAAAGTAAATGTCAACAGCAGGAGAGAAATGAGGTAGTTAAACTTTACTACTTATTATCTATAGAGTAGCAGATCAAAACAGAATGCTTAAAAGGATTTTAACAATAACATTTATATAAATTAACAATTTATAGAGTGGTTTCGCTCAGCTCGTAGGTTAATCTTCTTGACCATAAATCCGCATTAAACAACAAGTTTACTCTGTCTTGAAACTTGTAAAATAGTTTATATTGAGTTCAAGCGAATCAGTTAATGATATTTTAAATGGTAGACTCAGTGTCCAAAGTTAAAATATAGTCATCGAAGCACACTCTCATCCACATACAGGAGGAGTAAATTGAAGAATATTTCACTTCAAAATAGTGTAAAACCATATTCAACCACGACGTGGAAATTTCATACAGACTGTTCAGTTACTTGGAAATGATATTTTTCCAATTTTGTTACTATGTACTTCTCAACTTTCTAAATTTATTTAACATCTCAAGTTATGTTCTACTAATAGATAAAGCAAACTACTAATGCTACATAGATTGACGTGTCTGAATCAAAGAATTGACTGAATGATTGTCTTGACGAGGTTTGGGAATACATAATAATATTATTGATGTTGTTAAGCTATTCTGTTTACTGTGCAATGCCAAGATATAGGATTTATACATAAATATATATGTAAAGAGAGATGATTGAGAAAATTAGTATCTCAGGTGGATAATGGCGATGGAGGTTTGTTCTCTGCGCTGAATGTGTTGGCTATGGAGCTTTCATTGTTCTTCTGAACATCAATATCAGTACAAACCTCAGACAGCTGTGAAGTATATGGCAATGATTATTTATTGAACACTTGTGATGCTTGTTGTATCATTTACACCATGGTAACAATTCCTAATGAAAGCTACATTCAAAGTTGACTGCCGATATTTTAAACGGAAGGTAAAGTATTCCAACATATTGTGACATAAACCTTTTTTGACTAAAAAATATAAACAGCAATTTCGAATCGGCGTTTACAACTTGATGTTTTGGGTGATATTATGTTTTACATTAATTGTAATTCATTTTAGATAATTTATTAGTTTATCAACGTTAAATTATCTAGAGTATAATTAGTAGGTGTTGCGTTTTCTAACAAGTTTCGTATATTTAACATTTAAGATACATTTCAAATAGCGGCATTACTAAGCACAAATTATATGAAGTTCAAGGTTGTATCCTACTGTGAGACTACATGTTTACTGATATCCAGCGGCATATATATATATATATATATATATATATATATATATATATATATATATATATATATATATATACTGCATTTAACTATATGATTGAACTATTCTAAGTAAACCGGTGTAATTTTATTCCTTCACACATAATATCAGTAGAAGTCATTATATTTTATTCATAAATCTTGTATTTTATCATTGTGCATAAATTAAAAATTAGTTCTATTTATATTCTATGGTAGTATATGCATGAATATTAATCCTGATGAACCAAATAGTACTAAGAATCGTTAGCTTTGCCGTCATAAATAAAGAGGAAATCATATTTTAATAAATTACTGAACAGACTGTGTGTGTGTGCATTTCTGCTGTTTCTTCTGTCATAAACAAAATGTTAAGCAAATATAACAGGAAATTAGGAATAGTTTATTTAACTAGCTAGTTGTGTATTCGCGTTTTATTTTGACCACATGTTCTACAGCAACTGCAAAGACTGAAAAGAAGATTTTGTAAAGAATAAACTTTTCTCTTTCTTTGAAAGAAGTTGTTTTCAGCTTTCGATCACTGGTGTGATTTCTGTACAATCCACACCTTTGACTCTACGTATGACCTAGCAAATAAACGTCAAATGTCATAGCAAGCATAGCATTGGCTCTTGAGCTGTATTATGAATGGCTTCTACATCTTTTGACCTCTTCACAAAACTGGTTATTTTCAGTGAATGAGACAAACACCTTTGAAATCATGTAAAATATTTACTATGCAAATTATCGTCTATTTAGACAATTTGTAAATGATTATGAATAACTTTAAATGATGATTCAATAAATTATAATTCAATGAGTGAAAATGAACGATGTAAGTCATCATTCTATTTGTGCAAACCAATGAGTCTTTTTGGATTCACTGAAATTAAAATTCTGATTTCGACTATATTAACTGAGTATACAGAGGAACCTGTTACAATAAAAGTAAAGTCAGTCTTGGTATTGTCAACATTTCTGAAAATGACTTTACATCTTAACTGGAGCAACTAACTGTCAGTGTGAACTGTTTGGATTGTACTTACTTTCTACCGAAAACTTTAAAGGACCTCCTGATTAATTGTGAAATGTGCTATACTTATGACCTATACATTTGCAATGATGACCAGAATGATTAACCTACTCCATTTGATTGTCGCTACATTCATGTTGACTAAGACCGCATACCTAATAATGGAACCTAAATCGTAAATAAAAGTGTTAGGCTTTTCAAAAATAATTAATACCCGCTTTTACCATAACCTAACTAACTGAATTAATCAACTGTTCAATGCATCCAGCAGCAGTTAAAATGAATTCAAACTTTTGACAACAACTCTTCAAAAGGGATCAGATCGAAGATCGTTTTATTGTTTCCATTGAATGTCAATAAGATTGCCCTACGTGTGTTCATGGGTTTCGCTTCAACTCAATATCAATTTTGAAATAATCAATATATCGAGGAGTTTCAAATCGTAACTAGTAATCTGATTGTTGCAACAACCTGATCTATAATCGAATTTTTCAAGCATATTTCAAATCTCTGATATTTTATGCGTTTCGAGTGTTGCACTTGCATATTTGGCTGATAATAATTCACTTATTTCAAGTAATATATGTATAATAATAATAATATGCTGTGAACATGTGACAGTCTTCAACATACACCTAAAATCAAACCCGTATATAGCGAAATTATGCAACATATCAACAATCAGAAATTTACATTTTAGACGTATATAAGTAGAAGCATAAGTTATTACGTTCTGTCATGACGCAATAGAAAATGTTTTACCTGACTATTGTTGGAAAAATGAAGTTTGGAGATAAGGAAGACGACTAGATTTGAGCAACATTTATTGGTAAAATACGAAGATTGCATCATTACATGATATGATGTTGGCATTATTAGGATTACAAATAAAAGTCCACTTACTCATACATTCTTCTTCCCCACTGCCAACTTAAATGGTCAGAAAATTGGCATAATCTAACAGGTCTAAGTTTCTCCAAAATCTGTTTGAAATAAATCAGTGTATCTTTATTCGGGGTATCGATTTGTACCGATCTGTCCGGTGGATAGATTTGAGTTAGCTGATAAATTAATTCAATCATTGATTTTTGCCAAACTTCACGTGCTATTTCAGCACTTCTTTTTCGACTGGTATAATCATTTAAACAAATTAAGCCTTGGAAAAATACAAACAAGAAAGAATAAATTCATCAAATGTTTTAGAAAATATTATCATTATCGAGACATGCTAATTCAAATCTTTGCTAAATACAATTTCTGGCGGGATAAATCAGCTTCGGTTATGATTGAATGAGTTAGATTAATAACGTAGTATACCATAAAACGATACATTAAAGTAAGGTTATTTTCCGATTCCGCTATTAGTTGAATAACTGGATTATGTTAGATTGGAATTCAGCTTCATTTGATAATTTTTAAATACACCGCATTGATTCACTTGTGAATGGTAACTAATGTCACGTTGTTTGATGCGTAGTGTTACTTGAACTTTTTAGAATAAGCTTGTGATGTAGTTGCAGTGCCAAATCACTTAAAATCATGATTATTAATTTAATTGACCCATTCAAACTTTCAGAGACTTATGCTCGTGCATATCAATCAAAATTAAAACTGGGTCTACTGTTTGCAATCAATCACACCAAAGCAATCAACAGTCTCATTACTAACTAATAAAGCATGATTTTAACAAGAAATTTATCAATAATCCCAATATTAAGCCACTTCTTATGAGAAGTTCATTGTAACTTTTACAATGAATGTTAACTATCAGGTGGTCAAAGCCTTTTGCAATCAAAAGAAGTTTTTTATACAAAGCTACTTGTCTATCTTCTCAATAAATTCAAAAGTAGACATTATGGTTTTTATTTTAGAAATTCATTTAATTATTAAGAAGATGCCTAGCATATTGGAATTATATGATTCCAAGCCGTTACACTTTAGATCAACAAACTAAAAGAAAATTAGCAGGACATAAAGCAAAAAACTGAAGCAACTCAATCAATATTATTGTAAAACTAAATACAAGTGAAACGAAAAAAATCTGGGGATAGAAAAATGAAATGATACCATGTTCATGATTTGAGTAAACATTAGAAATGAGCACATCTGCACCACTGTGATCATTATTTAGTCACCATTCAAGACTTCTATCCATAATTTCCAGCGATTTCATGGATTACATCCGGAAAGTTAGCACCTTTCGAACCGATAAAACTGACCTTAGTAGTTGCATACTAACGAAGATAAAAACACCAAGTATTAACTGAAATGTTTGGGCAACTTTGTTGTCATTTATAATTAACATCTTGGCCTCAAATTCAACGTTGGCCAAACGGAAGCATCAGTGTTAGACTTAATACAAACTTTTATATCCAAAACATTAACAGTCACAACTTGAAAGTTGTTTCTGAATAGCAATAAAAAATACGTGAAAGTAAAATTATTCTCGCGTTATATCGACGTATAAACGAAACAAATCATTAACGATTTCAAATAATCAATCATTACTGGGTAGTCAGTAGGTAAGTATAAATAAAATCTCTATCAGGAATGAGAATAAAATCAATAAATAGTTTGTTAGTTTAGTAGTTTTATATTTGAGAATGTTTCACTCTTTAATACAAAAATAAATTACTAATGCGAAATTTATTTGAACGCTACCCATTGGACAATTATCAATTAGTTGTCAAATATATTTCGCTTGAATGGGATAACTATTCCTATCTTAAATATTTTCTTTAAGTTGAGAGTTTATTAGAGTTTGAGATCGGTTTTACTTATCAGCTATATAAGCTTGATAAACTTTACAGCAATCAATCGTTACCTAATTCAAGCTTATCACTTCTCAATAGTGCTAACCTACCAATGGAGCAATCTAGAAAATCCATCATCTTTGATTGTGATCAATTTATTGACGTTACAAGAGTCAGACAATTAAAGGTGTAGCCATATTATCATCGAAAGTATGAAATCAACAAAGTTTTAGTTCTTTAGTCAACTTACCAAACATTCCAGGAATTTTTTTAAACATAGTCGATTCTGCAAGAACATTATTATCAGCCGATACTTTGTCTTGATTATCAGCCACAGTAAGAGAACTCATTGTTGACGGAGTGTAAATCCAGACATAGTCTTCTCCAAACAATGCTTTCAAGTGTTCATGTTTTGTACCGTTCAAACTATCCGCTATGTAAAGTAGTGTATTTAGATCAAAACTAAAAAGAAAAGTAAATTGTTGTCTTAAAATCAAACGCACTAGTGATAATAGTTAAAATATACACACGAGTGAATATTTTTGAGTAATTCAGTACTCGGTGACTAGTTTTCATAATCTTAGATACATATAAATCTACTGTAGTAAATAAAGAATTTACCACCTCGTTTTTTGTCAGAGAAGATTATTTGTGTCTGACTAATATAATATCAGGTTACATCTAGAGACTGCAGTACGTCTATATATAATATTTAAAGATATGAACAAAGCTTTCATCAAGATAATCCATCTGGGAGCGAATTAATAAACTTCAGGAATTAAACATGAATTCAGCTAGAGAGCTAAGCGTCTATCAGTAATTGTTATTAGCGAATGGCAATAAAAGTTAGTCTATTTTCATGTGCAAAGAAGGCGGAATATCTAAAAATGATAATTTTAGTATCTCCTTTAATTGTACTTTTACTGAATAACCTTCTAAATGTTGGAAAAATTTATATATCAGAATAGTTGACTATCCGAAATGCTGATTAGTTAAGCTTGTAATTCAATTTGAATTTCAAGCTGAAGTAGGTAAATCGATAGTCACTAACAAGAGTTGCAATATGAGTTGGAAATGAGTGGTGAAGACTAACATAATTAAACAATATATGAGAGGCTGTAACTGGTTATTCAAATTGAAGAGTCATGCTGAGCTTTAACCATAATATCACAGCAAACTTAAAATCAGAATAAGTTCTCAGTTTCGTAAGTACTTCATTAAGCTATGTGAATTATGTGCATACATTTGTCGAAGAACACTTGTAATAATGGGTTTAGGATACAACCACTTTTAAATACTTAGTAAACACCCCAAAACTCATTTAGAATGAACTTAGAGTGTAAAAGGATTCCATCTCTTGTTATAATAGGTCAAGAGTTGATTTTATATAAAATTACCGTATAGTGAGAGATGATTTTGGTATTTCATCTGTTTTATTGAGGTTTCATCATTCAGTCAGACATTCCCAGAAAGTTTGAAAACTAAGATCCAACTTTTAACGTTTAAGATATTAATTTTTGCACAAAAGTACGAAGATGCTTACGAAAGCTTCAAATAACAACACCCTTTAATGCAATCGAAGCAATCTTCATTTTTCAGACTCCTCAGAAATAGCAAAGAATGAAAGCTACTGTGTTTAATTTCCATTACGTTATTATAAAAAGACATTATTTTTGTGTTATTTATGAACGAATTTCGATGAAATTGTTAAGGTGACATTCAAACTGTCGAAAGAAGAGCTACTTTCACAAGACCTAGTTATTTAAACACAAACCGAAAGGTTTACTCCTAACCTGAACATATTACAGAGTACTTCGAAAACTGAACTGAACCGGTGACACACTAGAATAATACCATCGTTTATCATTGTGAACTATGTTTTCAATAACAAGTGAATGAGTCATTAATATCACTACGAAAGTATTTCTGTTTTGTTGGGTGTTTGATAATGTTCGATAAGTTGAGAATACACGTGTGCCTCAATCACTACTAGTGTAGCATATGGCGAATAATTGAAGAGTTGATAACAAAATATGGAAACCTAAACTTCCAGTGTTTGCACAGCTGCTCTGTATTTTTTCCTTCAAAAATATTGTTTTGTTTTCAAACATTCATCCTATCAGTAGTTTTTATAATTATTTATTCAAAAGAACTAAGGAATCCGGAAACGTTTACAGTTCTGAAAATGTTGTTTATTCTTTCTTGGATTGACAGTTACCTGCAGGGTACGGTATTTAATAGTTTTCTACGATGGATATTTTTTTCTCAAAATTAACTACTCTTGTAATACGCCAATTGATGTAAGTTACATTAAGTTGTTTAGCATAGTTCTTGTTAGTTATTTACTGTTTTACATTAGGTTGTGATATGCATGTAACAGTAGTAGTCTTCATAGTGGTTGTAGATCATCAGGCATTTGTGTTTACCTTTTCGGGGGAGTAAATGCACGTGGTTCGATTCGGACGAATGTCATCGCAAAGCCACTACTAAAGACATTATCGTTAAGTCATTATGCCGTTTATTTATGGATTTAGAACTGTGAGAACACATTAGTTGATGAAAAATGATTTTTTTCTCAATACGAGTTGTTTTCTCTCGGTTGTAATCGAATCACATAAATCAACGTTAACTTTAAATTAAAGATGAAGAATAAATCCAATTTAGGCAGTAACATTTTCTGCTCGACATTTCAATCGCCGTGACTGTATCTTCCCTGGCTTTGAGTTTCTTTAGAGCTTTCCGTTGTTGTGCTGCTAGTTGGTTGTTGTCTCTCTTCCGTTGAGTTAGTAGTACAATGGTTTGCCTTATTTCTTGTTGAGTTTCTTCACTTATTCCTGCCGTTTTGAGTGATGAATCTAGTGCAGCGAAGAATTCCAGTTTTGAAGCGTCCTTCGTGTTATAGTTTAATCCTTTTTGGAGCACTTGTTCTTCTGTTGTCGTTAGGTGTTGCTTCGAGAGTTTGACCACACAGTTGGTTGCGTTTTCTTGCAGAGGTGACTTTGAAATCTTGATTAGTTTTTCTTTGAGGCTGCTTCTTCTTTGTTCTCTGTGTCGTCTGCTTGACATTTCAATCGTTTTAATCAAATATGATGTATTTAGTCAACAGTTAGTTATCATTTATGTATATGTTTGCTTTATTGAACTGAATGTTGAAAAATGCAAAAATGAAGACTTCTAAGACCTACAAACTCATTACATATTATTATTGCTTTTACTCACCATAACATTCCATTATATAAAATCATATCGTCAAGTTACATCAAATCTTACAGTTCAATAACGACATATACACGCGAATTCAAATTGTTCGATTCAATGAATCGAAACGTTTGTGAGTATTGCACAAAAGAAATATTAAATAAACTGATAAAAAGTTACTACTTAGTAAATGTGAGCCAATAAAGGAAATATCCCTCGACTAGATGGATATTCTCAAGAAGTAGAAGACTAGAAAAACACAGCTGTCACATTTACTTTTTCTCAATGGTCTCTAAGTTACTGGTTTTTAAGAAGAAAACTACAATCAAATATATACATATTGTGGATAAGAGATGTATTTATACTTCCGTAATATAAAAGTCTTTTAAAAATATAATAAAATTTATTGCTACTGATGGATTAAAGTTAACTTTACCGACTTCCTGATCATCTCAAAGAGTAGACCTTTAACATTCTCTAGCATTCAGTTAAAAAGCTGAAAGGCAAGTAACTGATGGCATCATACCAAGACTAATTTGCAGGAATAAGCCGGCGGACAGCTGTATGGCCTCAAATCAATGTTGAATAATGTAAGCTTCTGTTGAGAAATTTAAATTTATGTGTTCATTAACTCACATAAGGAGATAAGAAAATAATCTGATTGGGTTGATTTCGTGCAACAAGAAGATGGTGATAAATGTACATTTTGGGGATAAATAAGCCAATACCTAAATCACCAGTGCTAAATAGCCATAGCTTATCCGGAAGAAGTTCTAGACATCCGCCAGTAAGTTATATCTGTAATTTTTAAAGACATTGACATTCTTTTTGTCTTGAAATGATTTTTATTCAACAGTGAAATCCAAGAATTTCACATTTTTCAATTTAGTGGTGGGGGGGTTAGAAAAACATGATCATCTCATGTTTTGCTAATGATACAAGCAATGATCAAATACTTCAAAAGGCTTTATATTGAATTTCATCCCTGTGTAATGAAAACTGTATATCATGAGCCTATTTCTTGATATTTTCTATAAGCAAAATTCTTCGGAGAGCTACTGGAATTTGAATCTGTCAGTCGTATTTCGTTCTGTCTTGGACTCCTCAAAAACAAACTGATTGATAGGTAGTTTGAAAAATTTTACCATTTAAAAAAGTTTCTCATCTTAGCCACTTATTCACAAGTCAAGGGCACCAAGTATATATAAATTTGATGCCTTACTTTATGAGCATAAGCAACGCTTCATGTGTTAACATTCTCGGAAAATGTGTCATTTGAGATATTTCTTCTCAAAACAATAATTTATTCTCGAAAAAACATTTTACACTAAAAATTATCCTAACAGACAGACCTATGATACATCTAATAACATTACATAATTACCACCCTAAGGTGAACATATTTCTTCACCTGATTTTTTCTGCGTCCTGATTATATTGAAATTTTTTTTAAAAAAAAGATGTTAAACTGATTTTAAAACTAATCTTAATCAATAGAATAAACTTACAAATTACCATTGAATATGATAACTCTTGCATCGGCACGCCATATACTTTCTAAAATATTAATTAATGGTGTTAAACATGGTCGAATCTCTCTTAACATTTGATTGATGCATTCTGTAAATTCAATAGAAGTCAATCCTTCAAAAGGAAATTGATAATTTATTTCAAATCTACAATAAAAATGAAGAAAAATAAATTTGAATCAAAACAGGTAATTTAAATAAGTATTTTTATCAATAACAGAAGATACATAGAAACACGTTTTTTATTTTATTCAGTGACAACTGCTGATAAGTTTGAACAACACTGATTTGGTAGTTTAACAGGTCATCTGGAATTTTCCTAAAAAATACATTAACTCCAAGTCAAAAATTAAATTTCTCAATTTATTCTTAGTATACTGTGACTAGTAACGATTTGTTTTTTCTACTCAGTTAAATTAAGCTAGAATGTACGATAACATTAATCTACCACTGTTTCTGGAACTTTCGCAAAGAATCAAGTTACTAAATCATTCTTTTGTACTAAAAATATGAAGAATAAATGTATATTACGAGACAATTTTATTCTGTCAACTGTTATTGATCACAGTGAAGCAGGAAAATGTACAAAAAGGCTGTATAAAACAGTGAAAAAAATCGTAAAATGAAAAAAGTAAGAAACCATATAAATTCTTTCGACACAGCATCAAACCTGACTATTCTACATAGTTACGGTAATGTCTTGTATTTGTTGCATAGAACTTATAGAGTTCAAGAAGTAAAAGGGTTTAAGAACTATTTAGAATGAAGTTATTTTTCGCTACGGACCTCTGAGAAACTATGCTTAGTGGAGTTTGTAAACATTGTGAATGAGCAAAACATTGCCGATGATATTAAATGACTTATACAAAATCTGAATTACTGACCAATGATTGTTCGGTAACTGGTGTTAACGTATCATGTTTTTCACAGTATTTAAAGTTTCTAATTCTACCGTGTGTACTGTCGCGTACAGTCGATCTTTTGAATTTAAGCGGAACAACTTATCTGGAATTTCTGGTTTCAAACAGTGTTCTGTAACTTGTAAGTTTGTTGTGACAAGCACTAACTTTTTATTTTTGATTATTAGAATCTTTCGCTATTTCAACTTTAAAGTAAGATGTATTATATAATTTTCAATATTATTATAACAATAAAGAATTGAATGATGCTTGTTTCTAAATGTGATCAATATGTTAGGATGATCATCGTTATCTTTGGATTGATAGACACTAGTAATCATTATCACCAATAATCACCAAAGCAATATCTTGTCTAAATATGCTTCAATTTTGAAAGTCAGTAGTCGTTTCATAAAGTTTTTTTGCCAATTTTTTTATCTGTACATTCTGTGAGACATAATTATCTGTATAATAGTTGTCGGAAAGCTATGGTTAATGTACTTAAAAGTAAGTCAACTATTGCTGAGCTTTGAAGAAACTTGGTTTAACAAGAACATTTTTCATTTTCGATTGGACAATATTATAACTCTGGACAATACTAACAATTATCATATGAGAATACAATCAATTCTTAACTACTATAAAGGTACTATGAAGACATTTACTCAAAGTTCCAAAATTTTAATTTATACACATTCGCAATAGGAAGACACCAGACCATTTAGAACAACAGTCTATAAATAGCAAAAATAGCAACTGTCATAAAGTCTAGAACTAATAGTTGCTTTTAATTTCATGTTTTAGTTTGTTGTTGTCAAAATAAGTCTCTGTTATGTTTTTTTTTTCAAATATATCTGGTCTATTGTAGTGCTAATATTAGCCATACAGTGTTAAAAATAGGAAATTAATATTGTTCACTGTTAGAATAAAACACACCCGAGGCAGTAAATTTATCTTACTGGTAAACTACTTACTCAAAATAATTTGGATGATCTTGTGCACTTCGTTCAACTTGCAATTTTCTAAATTCCTCAACTAATACATCTGATCCAGGTACTTGTGTATTGTAAACCATGATTACAAGATTCCATTTGTACGCATGCATAAAATCAACCAATGCTCTTGCAACATGCCATGTTAAAGGTTCTAATCGAATAGCTAATTGTGAATCATCAAGCTAATTAAAAAGGAAAATGGAATTGGTAAAAAGAAGGTAAGCACACATGAACACTGTACTTAATATCGAATAAATTTATAACAAAGACAATAAACAAAGTGCTTGGATACTTTCGTGAGTTATTTATCATTGCAATTCGGTGCACATTTGCAAAATTTGCAGTATGAAAGGTATTACCTAATACAGCGGTGTGTTTTGAAACTTCATGTATTCGTAATTATCGTTTCAAATGCCGACAGAATCTAGCAAGGAATACATTTTAATTCAGGATAAAATGTTTACTGAAAGACAGTTGAAATTTCTTTATACATTAGTTGATTTAAGGATCAACCAAGTGCTGTTAGATATAAATGGGGTTAAATACCAGTAGAAAATAATTGAATCACTTCTACAAATTGTCAGCAAGTATTCAAACTGTCACAAAAATATAATATTCCAGCCTTGAATGACTTGTTACTAAATCCAAATATATATATTTTTTTTGAAAGTTTCACCGGATGTACTTGAAGTATCCGGTATAATGATGCAGTGAAGTATGCTACATGAACTACCTCCATGTGACAACAAAAGGTAAGCGTCAGAAAACCATCTATCATCGCTTATCTTTTTATGTACATTTAGTTAGTATTATTATTCGGAAAATCTTAAAGTTGCAACTCGTAACTATTCACTGCTGAAGAGACGTCCTAAAGCAGGATGCAACATTAGTTCAGTTATTTCGAATTTCCAATCTTTTTGTTAGACAGATGACCGTTCGTAGTGAAAACTAAATTCAAATGAAACATTACCTAAATTAAATGATATAACTATGAACAACTTAACACGGCAATATTATGCAAATGGTTTTGCTAATAATCCATATTCAGAAAGTATGAAAATTGTTCTCTTAACACTGAGAATAATAACACTATTTTGTAGTTAGATTGGTACCACAGGTGTAATAAAATACCGGTATAAAGGAGAGTATTCGTTGAGAAAGCGGTTCTCGATAGAAATCTCTAAGATATGACTGAGTTTTAGGTAAATCTGTTTGCTTTTTGTAATGTAAACTATCTCATTTACTTGGTGTTATTAATTGTTGGAATGAGTAGCCATATTATAGTATTTCAACTAGTTTTTTAAATTTTCGCAGCGTTTTTTAAAATTTTTCATAATCTTTAAAATGCCAGAAATAGACAGGAAAAACAATTCGATTTCAAATTTAAAAAAGAAAAAACCTCATTAAAAAAAGGTTATTGAAGGTAGATACAGTGTTAAAGATGTAGCATTTCTTGTGGTAACGTGAATTACCAGGCCGCTGCAAATGTTATAAAAATTGCATTATTATCCTTTATAATGCAACGATTCATGTATCCAATATCACCAAAAAGTTTGTTTGATGAAAAGGGAGTAAAGGTTATGTCTTTGTCTCCTTATAGTTTCACGCTTAATCCAATTGAATTGGCATTTTCAAAAATTAAATCCATTGTATATAAGAAGATCACTGACAAGCGGATTAAGTGAATCATTTACCAATCTTATATTATATAAAATTCTGTAAGTCAATTAACCACAAATAATTACCAGGGTTATTCGAGGCATACATGTCGCAATTTTTTAAAAGTGATTGCTAAATAAGATTTTAATTAAAAAATAGAATTCTTGTTATTTTTTTAAAAAAAAATTTAAAAAACGCTGTGAAAATTTCAAAAAAGTTTTTGGTTATTTTAAAGAAACCCTGTTAAAAATTAAAAAAAACGAGTTGAAATACTTTTTATTAAAAATAAGTTACAAAATTTAGTTATAACAGGAAAAAACTCATTGTAACTATTTATTAAAGTTAGGTACTCCAAGTAACGTATATCTTCAGTGACTTTAAGAGATTTGTGTTAATTATAAGCTTCAGTTTAAATTAACAATAAAGACATTTAAAAGGTCAGATAACTCTAACTACATGTTTTATTTTATTTCATAACTAATAAACAATGTTCTGTTCAAATCCTGGTTAGTAGCTGAATCCATAGGAATTTGTGTTTGTGAAATATTCATAATTTCAAATAGTTTCTATATTTATCGGTTCTCTTACTGCCAATGCATTCATTATGTCAAAATTAATTAACACTGATAATTTATTATTTGACAATGAAAAAGTATCTTTATTAGTAGAAAAACACAACTTCACTACTGCTGGCACTAATTTATGGCCATGCAAAGTATGTGGAATTAGTTAGCTTCCGTGATATCTGATAATTCACAATATATATATATATATATATATATATATATATATATATATATATATATATATATATATATATATTTAAGCCATACGAAAATGTATATCTTTCTATCTTTAAGCAGTAGAGTTATTTCCACTCTCTCACTAGTTTAGTATTGATATTAACAAATAAAAGTGTTTACACTCCTTAGTTCGGATGCATGATATCGGATTAAAACTATGTAATTCTGTTGGATTGATTGTCTGAATTATCAGACCTCAGCTTTTTTTCAAAATTAGACATTAATTCCTTATGACAATGGATGTCCTTCTACTTAGTTTACAAATGGTCTGATAGTTGTCAAGTGAAATATGCTAATTGTGGTGTTTGGTTCTCTGGGCTGAGATTACCAAACACCACCACCACCACAATCATCCACCTGAACTACAAATATTATTCTCCACCATCTCAAAATATGCTAAGTTGTTTAAAATATCGTGCGATGACTTGAGATTAAGGATTTGTGCAATGATGAAAATCTCTTCGTTGAATAGTCATTCACATACTGTTGTAAATAGCGAAAGGAATACGCCTACGAAAAACCAATGACATACCAATTTTCAAAACATTTAAAAAACAAATTTAAATAAATGAATAAATTCAATTTTTCACGGATATCTAACTAACTCATTTGAATAAATTTCCATTGCGTTTAGAGGTTTTCTAAAACCTACACAAAATACAATAGATAGATAATGTCAAGTAAAAAATTGCAAGTTGTATCATTATTATCAATATTATTATTTACACAATAAGATGGAGAATTAAGACAGTATACGAAAAGGAGATGAAAGAAGATAGATAAAGGAAAGATTGACATTTGATCGCCTGAAAAAACTTCAAATGACTAAGAATGCAAATCTGTTATTGATAAGCATTTATAATTAAAATGTCAAATGATATCTATGGTTTTTAAATCATGTGATTTTTATAAGTCATAATGGCGAATATAGATTGATGACAGTGATTGGTAGATGAAATAAAAAATATTTCAATCGAAGATCGATTTGTTGTACAGGGGGTTTTACTTGATTTTCAATGTCATTAAAACTAGTATCCTGTTATTTTGTGAACCGATTCGTCATTAAGAGATAATCAGTTTTATAAGTTTAGAGAAGGTTAAATTTTTAAAAACCAGACTAGTTCCTCTGTGGTTGTGTAATTCTCTTACTTATTAAATCTATTCAATGAAATGACTTTCCTGTTTCATCGCTCGTAAGCTACAAACTGATCAGTATTTAGCTTTCATTAGTATGAATAACAGTGTGACGAATTCAAGCAGTATTTGAAAAGTCGTTATTTAGTCTTAGGTCGATAAATGTACTGAGTTAACTAGTTTTGAAATTTCTCGTAAAGATTTCTCAAAATGGCTATGTATGCATTAGTGTGTCACATTGGGACTAGAACTGAATACCATTTGTTTTAGACTTTGGCGTATTGTCCACTAAACTAATGAATTCAGATAACCACTAATTTGTTCAACATTTAATGTTATTTAGCTTATCATTAGTGGGGTTTTTTCGATTTTCTGCTCATTGATATTCAAGCCTGAATTTGACAACTGGGACACTTGGAAATAATCATACAAAGGAGGAGTCTATCTTATCAATACATGAAGAACAATTTTTGATATCAGTAGTGTTATGTATTTTGAGCTGAATAGTTTTTTAGTCATCATGGAACAAGTTAATAATATTCGGTTCAAGTGAATCTTCGCAAAACACAGCCATCCATTTTATGGGACCGAACATCAGCATTGATCTATGCCATAAATATACATCATTATTAAAACTTCTTTTATTGAAACGAACGAAGATTCAGGAGGACGAAGTCGTAAGTTAAACATTATGAAATATCTAATGAACCGTCACTAGAGTTACATAATTACTGATAAGAAATAACGCGCAGCACATTGTACCTATAATCTTTCATTTGTTTGAATAAGGCAATGGTAAAAAGAAATAGTTTTCTATTTTAATTAATCCGAATAATGTTGTGTTTTAATTTTCCTTTTTTTAATTATGAGACAATGTTGAAAATAATCCTCATTTGTCAGCAACAACTTTTTTTTGCATTTGCTTGTATTCAGTTTCTGGTTGTTTGTATCTACAAAAATGACGTTTATGCGTTGAGATTTATCGAATCAGAAGAGGAATTATTCTGAGTTAACATTTCAATCATCTCAAAAAAACATGTAGCGTGAATTGGAAATTTTAATTAAATTATTGTTTTTCGTCTTTGTTTTAATACATTTTCTACCAATAACACAAAGGAAGGACATATCTGCATTGTATTACTGTAAGCATTGTTTCAGTCAGAGTTTTTTAATAATAATAATAATAATTATATATATATATATATATATATATATATATATATATATATATATAAATAAAAGAATTTTACAATTTAGTGTAAAAATACTATATGTTTGAATCCAACAGTTGACAGTGTATACATTGAAATACATCCATTGAATTTGCGGAGGTTGATAGTTACGAATTCCAGATAACAATATGACACTTTAAACGATAGGTAGTATACTTCAGTAGTGTACCATCAACCTTAGCAGCAGCAGGTCTCAACATACATAAAGGAAAAAGCAAAATTCTTCGATGCAACACAACATGCACCAATCAAATCACTCTCGATTGAGATGCCTTGGAGGATAATAACACCTTTACATATATGTGGAAAGCATCATCGACAATCAAGGTGGATCCGATGCACATGTGAGGGTGC